CATCAGTCTTGATATCTTACCATATCTCTTACACAATTGTATAATGATAATGATAATGATCCACAGGTAGAGAGGGAAAGCAAACTGGAGCCATTGTTTAGCATAACTGTCCATACCATTGTAAAAACATATCTCAAACCCAAAGTCTAAGTTAATCCATGATATCACTTGACTCAAGACTGGTAATGCTCCTTCCCTTGAAAAGACTGGCTTGTATAACTTGACAATGTTAGCACAGAACAACAGACCATTCAGTGTACCCACTGATACTGTTAAATTGAGAGCAATCAGTAGAATCACAAGTAGTACACCCATCACTGCAAACAGAGCAATCCAAGCTATCATCATGTAATCATTATGACACTGTTCACACTTGTTTGATCCCATTAGTGGACTGTATCCCTCTGAACATGATCCACACATTCTCTGTCCTCTATTATCCACACATTGAGTATGAGTGTCATTCAACTGAAAGGTAACAGGATTAGGAGAACAATAGAGGAGACAGTCCTCATTGATAATGCATGCATTAGGATTGGTTGCATTAGCATTGAAAGGTGTACTGGTATATTGTTTCAATCCACAGTAGACCATTGTGTGTAATGTCTAGGGTATTTATATCACATGTCACATTCTCTCTTGAAACACTGCAATCACAAACACTGAGCTGTTTACACTGAAACTAATAGGACACTTTTTAAGAATAAATTTAATAATTTCTTTAATAAATTTTGGTGTGTACTCAATCAGTGAACAATTATTAATGTATTTGTCTATCACCATTATTCCATTAATTTCTATTGTTATTCTCCCATCTGTAAGACTATATGAGGTTGTATCAAAACTGCGTCCAAATAAAGCAACATTATATTTCAGTGTTTGACCTGGAAAAAGACTTTGTTGTTCATCATACCTTATTGGTGTGGTTTCATTACTGTTAGGATCACAAAAATTCAAATCAGTTGCAGCACTTGATGTTGAAGGATTTTTTGAGTTAAAAAATTTTATGGAAATCAACTTGCCCATATCATTTCCAGCTACTCCAGCAGTATTATCCTTTATTTAATGTAAGAGGTACGGGTGATACTCGTGCAAATGTACTCTCAGTTTTCTCATCAATATAAATTCCCCTCCTTTATAAGTTGCATGATTATCAATAAACTCCAAGTTAGCTGATGGTGATAGGGCCACAATAGATGAACCATTTATTGCCATTCCTCCTCCAACTACTCCAGTATTATTCTTAAATACTAATCTATTTTCTACAGTTACTACTGAAGATTTAATCACCAGTCCTGTTGATAAACTATTTGTAACAGTAATGTTATTAAGAAAGATTGACAGACACCCTACTATCTCTATATATAACACTGATATGAGTTGATGTTGATAAACGTCCTTTAATGAATAAACCATATTCACTGTCACGTATTGAACATGACTTAACAGTAATGACAATATGATGATTACTTACTTGAAAATAATCTCTTAATAATTATAAAAAAATAATCTATTACCATTGTTTTGAAATTGGGAGTCTTCAATTACAATAGTCGATCGTGATTCAATGCCTTCAATATTACATTATTTTGATTGCTGAGAATGCCTGTAAAACTCAAATCCAAATCCGTATAATGAATAAGATACTGATAAATTAGCAATATACAGAGAAAAAAAGAGATGCACTGAAAGTATGACGAGTACCATTATTTGACAAACTGATGCTATTGACATTATCAATGATAACTGACATTATTATATGAGGTACCATGAAACATACCTAACCATAAGAAGCCATAAGTCACAATAACATTAGTCAGTGTTAATGAGTAATAGTGTAATTTATTATAACACACTGGAGGGAGAAAATAACGAATAAATAGATATACTTTGTCAAAAACTATAGATGTTATCTTAATATCAAAACATTGAGGAGTTTGCTGATTTACCTGTACTGCCAGTGTCTCATCAGGTTTTTAAAAATAGAACCAGCAATTGTGATATTAGATCTACTTAAATATTTAAAATCTATGGGGCAGTGGAATGATAAGTTAGTGAAACTGACATGACTGCTGGTAGTGACTGTTATAAACACAAAATTATTTCTGCAGTTAATAGTAGGAGACCAGGCTGGTCCAGTCCATGTAGAGTTATAGTCTGTACTGAGTCCATTGTGACATTATAGTCAATGACACTAGTTCCAATGAAGTAGAAGATGGTGTTATTGTATTGAGACATATCCCCAGCATACACTGATAAAGGATTACAAGGTGACTGAGTAACTGAACTGCAGTCATCAGACACATAATACTGACCAGAGGAGACACTGCAGGAGCTACTGAAGAATAAGAGAACAACCACTAAAAGGAGAGACATAGCTACTGCCTGTACTGACTAGCACAATTACTCATGCAGTGTGAGAGGACATTTGGAAGGTATTGTTTACACTTAAAGTAATGTATGGCAGTGAGTGACACATATAATTAGACCAGTAGTAGTTAGCAGTGTTCCTTCTACCATACTAGTCAGATGGGTCAGGTCCCACCTCCCA